ACATCAATTTTTGTGTGTCATGTGGTATGTTGAAAGCAGCACTGGTTCAAATTAGATGTTTGTGATGTCAAAATACAAAGTCTATACTTTCGACCAAATTAGAAACTCAAACTATATTGACAAGCTAGAATATAAAATAGGAACCTCTTATCTTTTTTATTTGTTAAGATATTGCTCATGTAATGACTCAAACGCAGTGCCCCCCCACTAACTTCTTTCCATTTTTGGAAATGCTCCCTTATATACACTTATTTCTATATATGACAAGAATAACAAATTGAAAGCTCAGAATGTCCTCTTAGTGGTTTTCTTAGCCATTTTGACATGTTATTGTGTTAATCTCGTTCTTTTCACACAAGATTTTAAATAATAAGGTAAGTCTTCAGTGAATTCACAATTTCATTTTTTAGACCAAAATACAACTTAGTTACTATACTTGATAAATTATAGTGAAATTCTATGGTATCGATATAGTAATTTATGATTTTTTCTATTTAAAATGTTTGTATAAAACCTTTTCACATCCTTCACATGGGAAATTTCATAAGACTTAACAACCTAAGATAAGCAGCAAATGAGTACAAAGTTGTAATTAGAAGAGATAATTGTTTGCTTTACTTTATTTACTATTCTACATTTAAAAAAAAATGTTTAAGAACTTATTTGTAAATAGTATTAATGTATATACATATATAATGTACAATAACTGAAATGTGACTATTTTACAAAATACTAGTCTACTAAAACACAGCCAATACAGGTCATTTTGTAAAGACTAAAAGTCAGTTTTATATTATTTGATACAATATCACAAGTGTACATGTACCTCGTCATTGTAACTTCTGTACTGTTAGCAAGGCATGGCTGGTAGGTCAACATAATAAAAATATTAAAAATGTATAATGTTATGAGATTTAAGCTATTTATACTAAACATTTGTTATAATATGTAGTGATTCTAGAAAGAAAAAGGCATAATTTATATTTATTTCCCAATTTCTTATGGTGTTTACGAGACCCCATAGAGTTAGGGTACAGAAAAAATATAAAGTTTAACCCCATCGGTACAGGTACTCTTTACTGTGCATGACACAAGATTTTAATGTTTTATTAAACTACTTTTTGTTTATGTTATACCAATTAGAATAGCATAAAATCTTAGCTAATAATCCATATTTTAATAGCATACAAGTTTTAAGTTCTTAATTCTAAAAGGAAATATATTAAAAAATCTTGAATTTCCATTATTGCAACGCACACGACACATTTTGTATTAGCATGTCATCATCCTATTTTATCCATCACCCGTTGAAAGTGTAAGAAATTAAACATAAAATATTCTCTATAAAATCATTATTGCTCAAACAGACCATAACTTTTATGGCCTTCAATTTTGTTTTGTTACAGAGCTATCAAAGAGAAAATCAGACCCCTCCTGCCACACCCACCTCTCACTCACAATTGGTTGATAGTTCTCTCTTACGTTTCATTATACATTATTTATAACGAATAGAAAGTCAAGGTTTTCATCTATGAAATGGCGTATTGTATAACATTGTGTTTTGAACAGATATCCGTCAATGTTACTCTGAGTAGCAACATCTTTCCCATAGGAAAGTTAACAACTAGCTTCGATGAATTTCTAACGGCTCTTGTTGCATAATTAGAAAGCCAGGATAATTTTTAGAAGTAAATTTGTCTACTTTTTGCATGTTATTAGTCTATGGTGTATTCTTTGGTGTATTATTTAATTAAATAAAAACTTTTAAGTGCTTTACTATAATCACTAAAAAAAATCAGGCTTAACTCTCATCAACAATCGACGGTCAATTCGACCAACCTCGTAACCACCAAAAAAATAAAAAATCGAAATAAACCTAAATTAACCTTCTTTTTTTTTGTAGTATAACTTCAAATTGTAACATGAAACTACATTCGTTTATCCTAAGTAGCTATAAGTTTGTAACATTATACATCTATTTATAATTAAATTTTAATTGTTTTAATGCCCTTTGAACCGTGACTAACTGCTATCCGTGCCATTATAAGTTGTAAATCACTCGGGGGAATGTGCAGCTCATGTTACGCTATCGAATTACATCACACACAAGCTGCTCGCAGGCGTGCTACGTGAACAATTTTAATTATATTATTATAATTACTTATTTTACCTATTCTAGTCTTAAATAACTTAAAAAGATCTGTACTTTTAATTTTAGTTACTTTTATAATAATAAATATGAAAAACAAGAAATAAAGTACTTACCCAATCTTCTTTTTTCTTGCCCTTTCTTTGTGTAATCCCTAAAACCTCCTAAATGCATTTCAAACGTTTTTTTTACACTAAATCCTTATAGTTTATATGTTATTTTCTCTACCCTAATCTCAAAATGGATTTTGAGATTTTTGAGATGGCGAAAGGTATTTTAATTTCAACATGAAAATTACTTTGCACACAGACTATTCAAAACAAATACTCAATATATTCGTGGACTAAACTTTATTTTATTTTATTAAAAGTACTTCACTAAAAAATACAACTTTTTGTGTGTGAAAGACTTGTAATATCAACTGAAAGACTGCCAAATTTCGTGAAGATATACCCAATTATTAGTTATAAGTATTAAATTTATGTCAACTTTAAATGAGTATAGAAGCTCACATGACTCGGTCCCATGGACCAAGCCAGTGTCAAAAGAGTTAACTGAAAACAAACATTTGAAATGTATTTAGGAGGTTTTGGAGATAACACAAATTATATTTGAGATTTTGGGGATGAACAATAGTTTTTTAGTTATTACATGAAAATCACTTCGTACTTGGACTGGTAAGGAAACAGACTCAATATTTTCACAAACAAATCTATAATAAAAATACTTCATTAAAAAAATTATTTTTTGTGTATGAAAGACTTGTAATCTTTACTAAAAGTCTACCAAATTTTGTGAAGATACACTTACTGCATTAAAGGTTATAGTATAAATATTTAACTCTTGCATATCATACAAAGCCCTTTGCAAAAGGGTTAATCCTATGACTACCAGTGTCATTTTTAAACTCTATATGCATATGGTACTGCATTACATTCAAAATTTAATTAAACCATTTTACTATCAATATATGTCAATGAAAGTAACATTATAAGGTGTTATAATTTTCAGTTTAAGTTATCTAAGTTTTAATTACTTTGTTTCAAAGAAAACCTTTCAAAAAATTTTTACACTGCAGTTTTTGTGTCACATCATACAAGCTTTGAAAAATATCAACTTTAGCAGCCTCATGAACTGGCAATGTACAGGAGCTTCTACATGCTAACTACATGTTGGTGACCTAATTGAATTCTACAACTGTATTCACTGGGAAAAAGAAGTAAATTTTCAAATCCTTGATGGCTGCCCTGCCCACCTTCTATACTTTGCCTTTAGACATATAACATACATGTAGTTAGTTGATGCAAGTGTATACAGTCATTATAAAGAGCTCAGCTTACACTATACTCTACCAATGGTTAATTTGAAATTGGCACACAATTTACCTTATGGTATACATGTAACTGCCATTTATTTTGTTGCCTGCTTGATCTACTACAGCACACACAGTGTTTTCTTACCTAAATATGCTAAAGTTAGAGAGACAGTTAAATTTTCTTTATATCTTACTTTTATATTTTAGTTAATTATGTATTATGTGTGTTTTAAAAACCATATTTTAACAGTTTAATCATTTCTATTAATTTAACTTGTTGCCCGGATATTGTAAGGTTATAAACAAGATGGCATGTATAAGCGTCATCTTGTTTCGGCAATGTGTGTCTCGGGGGAGTCTGCCAAAATACCTTCATAAATACGTGTAGACATCATTTAACCTATGGGCATAAAAGATAACAGACGAAGAATTTGAAAGGAAAATTAAAACTCAAAAATAAACTAAGTGAAATTATGCATAAAAGAAAAAAGTGACTATTCTAGTGGATTTTTACAAAGAGTTGAAAGGTATGTACATATTTCCATTTGTTAATTTTAAACATTTCAATGAACTGTATGTTGATCATAATAGTTAGTGATATAGTACAGAAAATGGAAAATAAAATATAAATATTTTCCTTAAAAAACTTTGATATTCATTTATGAGGTTCTACAGATTATACAAATAAAATGAGAACACTGTTAAATAAAAAATATTATTTTTTATACCTCATATAAAAATCAACTTGCAGGTGAACTATTCAAAGTGCAAGTGCAAATGACTACATTGAATAATTTTTTTTTTATTAGATATAGAAAAAATCAAAATTCAATGTTTATTATTCTGAAACTACAAAATTTCAGGAATGTTCTTGTCATGTTTTAAACAATTTCATCCACTAGTTTTATTTTTGGAATGAAATATGACTAGAGTGATGTTACTTACTAAAAAAATTAGTAGCCAGTAGTCATAAGGTTAAAAGCTTATCGAATTTTGTGAATATACACTTATTATATTAAATAATACTTATGCTCTTATAGTACCTATTGATTAAAAGGTCAGTCAAAGAGACCAAGCCTGTAGGGGACCTTTGAGTAAATGGCCATGAAATTCTGTACTTGTATTACCCTTATTCTATTACTCATCTTCAAATTTAATTATTACAGTCATGACTGTGAAACTGAAAAACTTTTGAAGCTATATTATATTTATTTCTCTGTAATGTCACTGATATAGAATTAAGCCCTAAAATGTGCAAGATTTTTAACAGCTAACTCTTTCAAACAAAAATAATTAAGGACATTGTTTCATTAAAACAACCATAATGACACCAAACCCTTGCCTTTACAAAACTGTATCAAACTTCTTGGGTTTTGTTTATCTTACTTCCTGTTCAATACTCTAAACCACAAACTCAAAAAAATTATGGTAAATGAAGAATAAGTTAGACTAAAAAAAATTATGGAATATTATAGAACAAGAATTAATTCAAAACTTAAAAAAAAATCCATAATAAATATTCAAAACATTTTTTACCAGGAGGTCTATCCCATTCATTTCGAAGTGGGGGTGGGCCACGGGTGTCCGGAGGAGGTGGTCCTCTTGGACCAGGTAGTGGTGGCCCATGAGGAGGAGGCTAAAGTAAATAATGATTAATAAAATCTATATTTCTAAACCCACAATGTCATATAAATTTCAGCTTCTTCTGTTCTTATCACCTAAAATTATCTTGCAAATAGCCAAAAATGATTTATTTGATTAAAATCATGAAAAACATAAATTTGCATTATTACTTGAAAACCCATTAAAATCATTCTGTGCTCTTTACATTTTATTCCAAATACAAGGGAACAACTGTGTACATAAGTAAGAAGTTAGAATTTCTCATGCTTAAATATAAACAGAATAATTCAATTCATAAATTATAATAGCCAAAATATGTCTAAAATAATGTTGAAACTCAATATCTACACAAGTTTTTTTCAGTACTGCTTTTTTTCATTGTCACAGGCATTGTTTGCCAAGGGAAAATGTGACATTTAAAATTAAAAAATGTTCTTGTTATAGTTAATTTTAGACAGAAAACCAAAAACAGTTTAAAAGGCAACTTATCATCATTTAACACACTTTAATTGTGTAAACGTACCAAATTATAGTCAGTGGTTAGTATAACATTAGAAATCTAATATGCATTGCAACGGGAATAAGCAGAAAACTGTTAATGTGGGTGGAAGTTTATACAAATTTTATGACTGAGACTTTGCAAATGTGAAAATCATATGGCAGAAAACTACTTTCAAACATAAACATTGCAATTCCCTCAATTAGAAGCTTCAGGTTACACTTGCAATTCATATTCTCACTGCCCATACTACAAAGGATATTGCAGTTGTTATAAATCTTTATTTTATATTTATGTATATAGACATTCTAATTTGCAGGAGAACTTGCAAAAGCAGTGTTCAAAAACCAGTATCAAGAGTTACTATTCAAGCAAATCTCACTGAAATGCACAGAAAAATTAACTTTTTTAACCAACTTCACATCAACATGATCAAAATAAAAACGATGGATGTTTACATTTTGTCTGGAGAGGGTATTGTGGTATACAAACTTTTTGTATGTGTAACTAAATTGATTATAAAAGTCATTATAACATGTCTGACAACTAATTATAAAAGAAATTCATTTTTATTATTTAAACATTTTGCCATAATGCCAGTTGAAGGGTTCGAAGGTCAGAAAAGATATGTAAACCAGAGTGAAGCAAAAAATTATCTAGTACTGTGAAAATAAAAGATGAATCTGGACTATTTAAGAAGGGTTTTAAGTTTTGTTTTCATTAATGTATTACAACATGTTCTATAATCCATGAAAAGTGCATACAAGCCACAATAGGGTCAAAGACCATTAAAGCTTCTTACATAAATAAAAATGAATAAATTGAAAATCTTATTGAGTCTAGAATTTAAGGAGAGCAAGAACACATTAAATGCTAAATCTTACCACTCTGATATTTCCAGGTAATACTGGAGGTGGGCCACCATGACGAGGTGGTGGAGGTCCTTGCATGCCTGGTGGTGGTGGAGGCATTCCAGGATGTCCCACCATTGGTGGAGGACCAGGTCTTGAAGGTGGAGGGCCTTGTGGATGATGCATCTGTGGTGGAGGGGGACCTGTTCCCCATAGTTGAGGGGAACATCCTTAGTGAGAAATTTGTTAACTTATCATTATAAATTAATGATATTCAATCAACTGTTTGTGTCCACTCAGAGTATGTGATACTTTTTAATTTAAAAACAAGGTTTTTCTCCATAGGAAGCAAACATTACATGATTAAGCACACAGGAAACTATTGTTGATGCAAAGTTTCTCTAATGATTATTACAAACTAATAAAGTGCTTACCACAAAGTGCAAAAGGTGTTACTTAGCTTAGAACCATTCACACATCCTTACAGCAGAAAATGAAATAAAATCTGCAATTTTATTACAACACTCAAAATTAAAACATACGTCTATAGTATATGTAATTCAGATGCATTTAGTGTGTTATATTCAGCTTTCGTGGCAAATATATGACAAGTTCATAAGAGAGTATTTATTATTATTTTCAAACTAAACAGCACCTTGTGTTAATGTTTGCTAAATGGCCAGGTCAGAAACCCTATAAATATGGGTATAACCATTACTAATTTCCAACTATTGACCAAATGGAAGGCAGCCAGTTAATACCACCTGCTGTGAAAGGGCTTTGTGCCACATTCAACCAAATAATGAGATACTGACATTTTTAAAACCTGCCAACAGTTTAAAGTATTGAACATGTTCAGTGGTAGTGTATATGCTGATTCTTGAGAAAAGCTAAGAAAAAATATAAAAAATAAGTATAGGGCACCTGATAAATCACATTATCCTAGCCATTCTTTTAGTTATTGTATTTTATGAATGTGGCATGATAAAATCCACAATTCAAGATCAATGTCATCTGAAGCCTGTAAGTTGTGTAGTAGCTATGGCCCCCTTCCCCCAAAAACATATTTCTACATTTTCTACTCAGAATATTAAATATTAAAAAACCTTGATTTTATTGTTTAACCCTATAATCTCAGCTTGGTCAAAGTGGCATTAAAACATAGTTTATGATTCAAGGTTTTATATTATCTAAACTTTAATTTCTTAATTTCAAAAGGAAATATTTAAATAAATTCTGAATCTTCACTTCTCTGTGTCATGTAACACATCTGCCCTTTCAATTTTCCTTTAGTTTTTCTCTACTTACCTATTTAATTTCAGTAATATATTTATGGATTTGAGAGTATCAAACCAATTAGAAGCACAAAGTATAGATATCAGCAGGCCATAATATAAAATTAGAACCTCCCATCTTCTTGATTTTCTGATATACCATTGAATTATCACACTTGCCATCCAAGGTACCTCCCATCTCTTCATGCTTTTGAAGCCACTTACTTACTCATGCTTACTTGTCAAGTGAACATGTTTATAACCAATAGAAAAAGCATTTTGTAAACTGTATAAATCTAAAGATTGTATGATTATCTTTCACTGTCAAAGCTATTATTTTTTAAGAACTTGATGTGCGTAGACTAAATGTTAGTGTTCCAAGCAGTAATGAAATTTTTTAAACCTTTCTATAGCTTAGTTAGAAAGCCAGAAAAAACATAGTAGTTTTGAGACATTCTTATTCAAGTGCCTGATATTTGTTTTCTAAAATGTATATTTCAAAGCTACATGAATTATTTTCAAACCACCAAGATAGATAGATTAAAAAATAAAGTTACAAGAGCAGGGCTAAGGTAAGTGCTAAATTTATTGTATTTTTTATGTTATTTTCATTTACTGTTTCACTTTTTTTTTTAACAAAAGTATAAAAATTAAAAACTTATTATGTTAGATTACAAAACATAGATGAAATAGAATTACATAAAGTGTTTTGTAATCACTCTTCAAGGAACATATTTTAACACTGCATGATGAACTTGATAGTTTATTTATCTTAAGCTCTCCACTCTCCTGTTGGATGATTCATTGCTTGTCTTGATACCAAGAGAGAGAATGTGAAGAACAATAAAACCATAGGATTAAAGGAAAACAGAGGTGAGAAGGTGAGAAGCTAAGGTTATTAGGAAAATAATTGTAACTGTCTGTTACAATCTAGTCATTCTAGAAAGAAAAAAATATTTTATTTCATATTTTTCAGCTTTTCATTTCTCTTTACATTAATGTTTTTGTTAAAGTTAGTGTTAAGATAGAGAGAATAAGATATAAGGTATGGTTTTACAAAAAAACTTTTGATATTCACTTAGGAGGTTCTAGAAATATAACTACTTTGCTAAAGATTCTGTTTTTTTTTGTTTTTTTTTTGCTGTGTACAACAGACTTGTAAGTTTACTAGCTTACCAAATTTCATGTATACCTAATATATTTGAAATTATAGTCAATGTTGCTATGTATAGCTTTCACATAGGGTTAACATATCCTCACAAAAATAAAGAATTACAATTAAGCAGAAGGCCAAACACACAGGCATAGGGCCCAGACCAGAAAGAAGCCCATGAAGGCACTATAATGATCAATGTCATTTTTAAATTCCTTTCTACACATGTTACTGCATTACATTAAAAAATTAAGTAAACCACATTACTAACAATGTATTTTAATGAAATTACTATTATCAAGTGTGTTATAATTAAAAGTTCTATTTTATCCAAGTTTTTATTCCTTTATTTCAAAAGAAACCTATAAAATATTATTTAAAACATGAGTTGTGATATCTCTCATTATGCACTCACAGTTACAAATCTCAAATTTAAGAGCTGGTATAGAAGAAACTCAAGTAGAAACTTTTACCTCGTAACTCCAACTCTTGACTGATTTGAGATCTAATTACAACCAAAGCTAGTGAGGGCTCCCTCTTGTTTTTATTTAAATTTTATTATTCAACCTATCAAGTTTCCAATTTTTATATTTTAGTTACTTTTATAACAATAAATATAAAGAATATACAAAAAACAAAAAATTTAGTACTTATGTTTCAGCTTGTTTTTTTGTCATAGGAAAGATGAAGTAGATGAAGAAACTTAAGCCTACTTTTATGTAACAACGTTGGTAGTTCATAAAATAATTTTTATAAATTTCAAAAATGCAATTCATTACAAAATTATATCACAGCAAAAAAAAACCAGAAATTCCTATAATTTAACTATATTCTTAACTAAGCTATAGGTGGATTAAAAAAAACCTCATCAAGCCGAACTCCAAAGGCAGTAAACAATGAAACTAAACCAAATTATATCAAAACCTGGCATATATATGAGGTAGTCTCATCGACATTCGGTAAATCAGAATTTTCTCTTTCTGTTGGTTATAATTAACCCAATAGCAAATTTCAGGGAAAATTACAAACATTTTTTGATAGAAAAAAAAGGATGTGAATGAAGGGGCATGACATGTGGGTTTGACTTTCTTCTACATGCATCAGTAAAGCAAGAAGCTGGGAAACTACAACTTTACATTATGGCTTAGCAATATCTATAGCATGTGTGTAATTTTCACCAAACTCAGATCATATAAAAGTACAAGAAAAATTTAAAATGGGCAATTCAGAGCAAAGAACTGTCATGTATTACAGAGAAGTGAAAACTGAGAATTTACTTAATATTTTCTCTTGAATTTAAGAAATTAAAACTTATATAATAATACTATTTTATTTAAAAACTATGTTTTGATGCCTAGTTTATTTATATGATTAATAATAAAGTCGTTTAATTAAATTCTGAAAGTAACTCTGTAAAAAAGCTATTACATCACACTGACTCCACCATAAATATGGGGTTAATAGCCATTAAAAAGTACCAGTCAATATAAACATTTCAAGAGTTTAAAAGAAAGAAAAATTATTTTTAAAAAAATGATATATCAACTAATTTAGGTATAATATGATGAAAAAGAGAAATTCAAAGTTTTTAAAATTAAATCATTATGAAACAGTACCTTGATTAAATTGTGGTGGTGGCCCCTGTGGAGGTGGTGGGCCCACAGGAGGTCCATGATGCCCATGCATATGCTGCTGAGGTGGAAAATTAGGTGGGCCATTACTTCTTCCTCTATTCATTCCTGATGGACCTCTATCTCCCCTTGACTCTCTCTCTCTCATTCCACCACCTGGTGGTCCTGCTCTACCCATCCCCTCCCGACCCATGTTTCCTGGGTAAAATGGTAAAAAAGCAGTTTTGCTTAAAAATCAACAAAACCGTTAATATTGAAAAGCTTGATGAGAAAAAGTATATAATGAATGGAAATTTAATTTTCTTTAAAAGGTTGCAAAAAAAAGTTTTAAACAAGAATATAAAACCTACTCATTCATTATCAACTACATAAAATAAATTAATTTTATTGAGAGGTTGTACAGCAATATGGATAACTTTTTAGCAATTTTCAAACATTAAAGATAGCATCATCTTAAAAAAACTTTTTAATCTTTAACTTTCTTCTACAAGCCAATAATTTAAAAGCATCTTTCATTAACACCTTTAGTGCCGATCAGAGATTGGGCTAATTCTATCAGTCATTACAAGCAGTTCTCCTTACATATTATTAAACAGAAAATAATATACTTCAATTTCAGAGTTTAAACAAATCACCTGTAAGATATGAAAACTTAAAATACGTTGTTGTTCTTAAAACAACAAACAAATACCACACACTTTTTTTCAATCAGCTTGGTGAAGTTGATCTTATTGAGATTAACTACCCCCACCCCAAAATACACACATATATAATTGAAAAAATATATTTAAACACTAAAAACTTACATGCTTAGAATTGTTAAACAAGCACAGGGAGGATGAACTGTTGAAAAATGACTGATATTCTATAGATATCTTTAAAACTTCAAGTTCAAAATAAATATTTAATGAAAATATCTTAAAGTCAGTAAAAATTAAGAAAAATCGTATATATTTCTCGATATCTTTACATGTAAAACAGAGGGAAACTTTTCACATACCTGGAGAGGGTTTTCTAGCTTGCATTTCAAAATGATTCAAACTCTGCTTATTGTATGGTGTTACAACTGGATTTTGTCCATGAAGTTCCCTGGGAACAGATGAGAGATAAGAAAAGAGAGGAGGTACTTTTTTCTATAGCTAAATACCTATTTATAAAAACACAAAATATTTCAAGAACTCACAAAAATTAGGGTCAACCAACTTTCTGGATGCCACAGTTCCCACAATTTTCAAATTCTAAATTCCATGCTAATATATTAATTTTTTATGACACTTTTACACTCACAAACAATCATTTTCATGGTCAGTAGGCTATGCGATCACAAAAGTCTACTTTTAAATAGTTTCTTTTCTTAATACTGTTACTAAATTCTAATCATTTTATATCTTACATTTTAACTAAAAATTTGTGAAGGAAGACCCACTTGAGTGGATAGCAAGCCAGCCTTTTTAAAAAGCATAACTAAGATCAAATTCCATCCCTACTGCCAATAAAAATCCGTCTCACAAGTTCGCTGAAGATAACAGCAGATTAGTAGCCAATACATACAAATATAAACTAATTAGTCATTAGTAACTAGTCATAGAATAAAAAATAAATATCAGGATATAAAAGTCTGTTTAGTTTAGATGTTATTGATTGATTTATTTTTATCATAAAGCAGATGATTATAGGAGGTTTTGTTAATAATTCATTAATGTTGAGACTACTGAACGTCACGTGCACTACACTGACATCGGGAATATAGAAATCGGCCAGATGATTAAGTTATAAAGATATAAATAGTGTAAGATGAGCAAAAACATCAAACAGATAATAGCAGAAGAAAGTAAAGTTACAAAATGAAAGGTTTGGTGTGAAGTTGACTACCGTAGAAGTGCTAGGCATAACATTTAATATGTTGGTGTAGACTAACACTAGAAAAGAAGATAAAAATAACTTATTCCATCAAAGTGTGGTTCTAAAGTAATTGAATCAGCCTGAGAGTACTTTGACAGAAGAAACACAGGATCTTCAAAAAAAAATGAAAGAAGACCAAACAATTATGGTAACTCGCACCACAATTGTAAGTGAATCACACACAGAATACTAGTGTGATAGTAATAGAAGATAGTTTGGCTTGTCAACTGAATAGGCCCAAGTGGAAGGAGAGAACTACATATAGTGTTTATTATATGTCCATAACATCTGTAGTGTTGAAGAATTTGTTGTACAAAAGTTTAACTTGTTCCGAATATATATAACGATAAATGAATTTATGGCTAACAAGTCACAGACACCTACAGTATAAAAATCCTAAGCCCAACAACAATATAGTATATATTAATACTATCGAGAAATATAAGTAAAAGAATTTATAACATATATTCCCAATTGTCAAAATATAAGGCTGACAATAAACAATTAAACTCAGGTAATCTTATAAGCTACTAATTGTGAAAATGATCACTGCAACTCTACATCACATTTAATATTCAGCCTGCAAGTCAAAAATACATTTTTGATGAGTTGATTTTAAAATAAGGTTTTCTGGTACTCTTTTTTTTCAGAATTCTGAATAGAGATTTGAACTCCTTGCAACATCAGGAATCTGAATTGTCTATCAGCATGGTCAACATTGCACTAGTTACTAGGCTATGAAGTAGTAAAACCCATACCTCCATCCAACCTTCCAAACAAAACCAAACATGTGGAAAAATACAAAATCAAATTTTTTCTTCAATTTTTCTAGGTTAACAGACCTAACCCTTTATTGAAACACCCCTCTATATTTCACCCAAGTCCCCAAATTTCATTTCATTAACTCGCAGACTAGGTGTTAACTCTATGGATACAGGTGGATCAAAGTGTATGTCGCACCACTTTTTTTCTTTCTATAACATCACGTTTAACTCTTTCAGCACTGTCTCGGTACCAGGGACTGACCTCGTAACCATTTTGTGCTTGTTAGTTTTCATGCTATAACTTTTAAATTAGTTAGCAAATGTTAATGAAATTTGGCAAATTATCAGTAAACATTATATATATTTTTTTTTTATTAAGTCTTAAGGTTTGTAAAGCAATAATTTTCTCATGTCTTTTTTCTTTTCACATTTTGCCTATCTATCATGCAAAGTGATATTCATTTTAAGTTTAAAAATACTTTTATGCATCAAATTCAATATTCTTTGTCTTTTAAGAAATGTCTATAATTCTCTCAGATATCTACTGGGCACATTTATAATGATTAGGATGAGTATATTCTGCTCTACACGAATCAGACAATTGTTGTGAGTACAGCATATAGTGAGTACAAAAAGCTTCATTTGTATTATGTTGTTACTCAGAGCAGAATGGAATTTTTAAAACCTACTTTGTATTACTGCAAATATTCATAATTACAGCATTCCGTACTACCAAACTATCATTTCATCTCTATCAGCATTGTATATATTAGACCACTGAGAGATCACAGAATATCTTTAAATGTATTTAAACTCTGAAGTATGATGTACACAATATATGCAGTAAAGCTAAAAACTTTTGTTAGTATCTTTAAATCTGAATCATAATTCAGAAGATACTAACTTTAATGGTTAAAGAATTATATCATTGAAAACTTACTTTTTTGGGAGTTTGTCCATAACAATTCTAAAGGAGTTTTCAGATCCCAGTGTAACCACACAAAATCTAGAAAAGCACATTTAAATAAAAAAACTGAACTTAAAAAAATATCATAAGCAAAATAGATATTAATACTAATTATTTTTGGCTGTCTTTCTTTACTGGATAAAAAGATTTGGCAAAATTTCTGTTTGATTTGTAATAACATTATAAAATTAATTTTTTTAAATTATCTTTAACCTCTTTCTTATAATTTCTCTTACATACTTCTTTCAAAAAAAGTTCATAAAATTTTATATTAATTAAATTTTAAACTAAAGAAATAATGATGCAATCTACTAAATCCCTGAGGTATACATGTGTGTGCGTGTGTGTGTGTGTGTGTTTGTGGAGCTTCTAATACAGAATGAACTACGACATTCAAATATTTTACAAATGTTTTTACAATGGGGTAAATAGTACATGATCTCTGAGAATTTGTATTGTATTTTTTAAAACACTGATGTCTCCATTTTTTACCCATATTTCATAGTGAAAATACTTAATTATATTGCATGACACTTAGAACAGTCTTTTTAAATAATATCAAGTTTTGTCTTAAAAAATAATATATTAACTAATATTACTTTATCATATTCTATGTTGCAAAAATTTCCAAACTTTTGTTGGAAGACACCCTTCTGAAAAAACCTTTAAAATACTTTTTTATTTTAGAATTTCAATTTATTATATTAATTAGAAAGTTTCATTTCATATATCTAGTAAGCTTAAACTTGATTGATATTTATTAATATATTTATTTTGCTGATTTCAGTAGTAATAAATTCCAGCTAAAAAATCATAAAAACACTACACAAACTGATAAACACGTATTGATGGCCCAGAAGCTGAAATTTCAAAATGGAGATAGGTCAAACTAGGTAACAATACTTTGCTAATAATATCTTGGTCAAAATCAACTTATATGTGATATATATACTTTTTTCCAATAAATTATAATTTCTTTTACATATCTCTGTTATATGCCTCCAATAAATTAAATAACATATAATAAACAAGGATTTAAGTGACATCTGTGTCACCAGATTGATGTATTGTCATAGAATACTATTTCTATATATTTCAAATAAATATAATTTAACACAAACATTTTCAGGGATGAAAAGAGCACTTAAATAAACTATATAAAAAATTACAGATCTGTGGTTTGTTCCTAAACTCCCCACCACATTCCACCGTTCTTCTCTGTATGAACTAGGTCTTTCCCATAAAACAATAAACTATGTCTTGCATCACTATTTTCAATTTACATTGATGTAAGTAGTTTATACTTTACTCTATCTAATAGTATTTACATTTTGTCTGTAGCTGTTTTGCAAGCTGAGTTTCGTTAGTAGGTGTTTAATCACCTGTTATGAGATCATAAAAGGGTCAGAATTGAACTGTACTAATAACATTCACAGAAAGAGAAGGAAAACAACATGAGAACATAACCCTGATAACAGTTGCTCAGCAAATATAAACCAATGCTTTGGGATGACCAAAACAATTCTAAAAAAATCTATACAGGTATTGTTTACAGATGAGACTCCTCAAATGGAAATTTGAACATTTTTTTTAATTTTTCTTTGCAACTTACATAAATCTCACCAAATGACAAAATATCAATTCTGAAATAGCTTTGAAAGATTATTTTTACATAAAGTTTAAAATTTGATATCTGAAAGGTGCTCCCTAACCCAGAAAGGGTTAGTAAAAAAATATATTCCATTAAAAATCAAATTTTCCTGATTGTATACTTACAGTTTTAATATAAAATACAATGCTAAAACCTACCAACGAGATTATCCCAAGTCTTTTTTTATTTACTTAAATACAATTATATAACAGAATCATTAGCATTTATTTTTATATCTTATATAAAACTCACAATTCCATATTACTTACCCCTTTGATTGTCCATTGGCCCGATTTTCATAAAATTTGACATCTAAAACATCGTTTACACCAAGGCTGTTGATGGCATCAATAACATTTTGGTCTGTAGTCCACTGAAAATCCAGCAAAACAATTAGATTATATTGCTTCTTCATATCAAAATAAGAAACACTTGCAATAAACATAACAGAGAAATCATAATTAATACATTTCAATATAACTGAAAAAACTTAATGATGCTGCAGATTCTTTTTTGCATCAACAAATCAAATACTCCCTCTCCCAAACTATATTTACAGGAAAATCTTTGGGTTGCACCCAAATACAATACAATTTCTTTGTTTTATACTCTGTAGTCACAAATACTAAATTTGTAAAATAAGATTGTATTAATTTAATATCAATTGTCTTTATAACTCAGAAACTTGCTGCGTTCAAAATTTATGACAATACATACAAGTTTGCCATTATAAGTAGGTGCAATTGTCTACAATAATGGTATCTGTGAAGGTAAGGAAATGCTATAAAAAAATAATTTTACATTCAAATTGTATGTTAGAATTTCACTTTTGTTCAAAAATTTCATCATTTTCCTAAGCATATGCTGGTGGGGATGAGTTATATCTAATGTATATTTTCATCAAGGTGTGAAAAATGTTGATTAGGGTCAATATTGCCGTCTGACGGCAATAATGAAAAGTATCCCCTATAAAATAAAAAAGAAATGACTGCAACTATTAACACAAACACATATGATTATTTATTTGAATGACACAGTAAATGATACACATCTTTAAACAAACAGCCTAACAGCTTGAATAAAAGTTTATTCATGTGCAAGACTTGTGCATGAGAATATTAAACTATCTGATGCTGTATCACAAGAATAAAATAAAAAGAAAAGATGTTCAAAGATTGATGCTCTTGCACTGGAGTTGTCAAACTGTTCTGAATACTGGAAGGTGCAATGGAACCATTTTAGTGCCTAATAACTGTTAACCTATATGTTTTGCAAATATGCTGTACATTTAATTTAAATTATGCAAGAATTACAAAATCATGTTAGAAATAACAATATAAATATGAACAGAACTTCATGACAAGGTAAGACAACAAGTCTTAAAAATAACATTTTATTTTTGTCAAAATATTTTTAAATGTTTAAAATGGTGTATGGAAAATTATATATATATATATATTTACATGTGCATGTAAAGTAAGTAAAACAGTAACAGAAGTATTGTTATTCATTATCAATAACAAATAAAAACTGTCTCCAACTGCTCTGTGAATGTTATTAATCCAATAGCTTAGCTACTAACTCATAAGGATTGTACAAAATTTCATAAAGGCATAAAAAGTTATCACAATTGGGCTTTAGGACATATTGAACATTTTTAGATAGGGAAAGGAAAATAAACTGGTATAATATTTTTCAAATTTAATAGAAAGTTAAATTTTAATGTATTACAGTGATTTAACTCTTTTGATACCCAGATAAATAAAACTTGCCTCTAAGGAAAAATTGCACTATTGAATTAACTGTGCAAAATAAACTTGTAGTTGGCTTACCACACATAAAATATTTTAATATCACAAATTTTGATTTCATGTTGCTTTCAATGTACCTCGACAAATTTATTGATGTTTAAGAATTTCTTGAATTTTTTTCTAGATACAAGATGGTACTCATAAAACCATTGGAGAATAGTTATGAGTTTTTATCAAAATATAACTCATTTGTCATTGTTACTTTTAAAATAATTGTAGATTTATAAACTTAGTTACTATTTTTCAGCTTCAGTTGTCATGATGTGATGTAATTGCCAATATCTCAGCTTCATGAAGCTGAATCTAAACACAATTTTTCTATTCCTTTGAATTGTAAGAGCAATAATGTTTTCAATTCAGCAGCAATATGTGTAAAGGTTATAAGGGTGACAAAAGTTTAGCTTGGTGATACATTGTTAGAAGAAAGGTGTCTGTGAACAATTTCCACTCCCATTACAGTCCTGATATTTTTAAGTTTGTAAAAAACTTGCTTTGTCAGTTTATACTTCATTTGAATTATATTAAAGTAAGATGGAGAGATAAACCATTTCTGTGGAACAAGATGAGGTAGGCTTAATCAAATCATTTCGTACTTGATCCTATCAAGTTTCATTCTGCAGACAATGCCACTGCATTAGGCCTTATTGGCCTAAGCAGCTTCTTGAATGGGCAAAGAAACTCGCAAAAATGAAATGTAGAAACAAGTTTATAGAAGCATATGAAACAGATTTAAAATACATTAAATGAAACCTGATCAACAGTTTAACAAAAAAAGTTAGCTTGCTTATAATTTTGACATAAATGAATTATTTTTATTGTACACTCGTTACTGTAAACAGTCAAACTGCATAACTTGTTTTTCAAACCAAAACAAGGTACAGTTTTATGATAAAACTTAATATTAAATGTTTAAAGTATGCAGGAGGACATCAACCTCATTAATTACAATCTACAAGAACATTTTTGATCATTTCTTTAAAAAAATTATTATAATGAAATCTTGTCATGAAATATGAAAGCTGTGAATACACACATCACATACAAAAATAAGATATTTTATTTTAAAAAGCTACATAATTTGTAGGAAGTAATTCTGAAATTCCAAACAATTTCATCCAGTAATTTTGTACATTGTACTAACAAACCATACAACAGTACACTGAATTGACACATGTGGGTCTCAAAGAGTTAAGCTGAACATTTGTAAAATTCTTTGTTTCAGCTTCTATATAAACAAAGTGTTATCCCTAAAGTGTATTGAAAAAATTCTAACCAATACAGTACTCTCCAATAAAGACCTATGAATAAGCTTATTTGTTTAAACTAAGTCATCTGTATTCCACAACAAGTCAGTTTCAAGACCATTGCAGTCTGTCAAATGTACATTTAAAGGCAGTGATGTAACTAAGTCTCAAAAGAAGCTGGGTAAAAATTACAGCAAAATACATGGAAATTAACTTTGATTAGTGTTATTTTCTGGTAATCCAAACTTACCCATGTGAGGTTACCCACATAAATAGCCACACGCTTAGTAGGAGGTCCACCACTTGAAGATACAGATCTTGTAGAAATTCCATCTTGGTTTACCCCAAACTAAAACGTGGACATAACAAAGTTATTCTGTGGTCAGAAAAATCATTTAGCCACTTCAACTAAAATCATGCAATCAGCTTTACATATATATATATATAGAGAGAGAGAGAGGATTATTGATATCTATTTAGTACTTTCCTTTTCCATCGTAGTTTCGTTTTCCTTCGTTTGGAACAAAGAAGTACGTAAGTACCTTACCTTATAAATAAAGTA